AACCCACCAGCCTTATGTTGTTGACGTTTTCCTTCACTTGGTCATCTCTTTCGTTCTCTGCAACACAAGTTGAGTGACAAAAATTTATGGCTTTGATGAACGACTGAGGCACAGTAGGACATCTTGATACTTCTCTCCAATGCGTGACCAAAATTGATCGTAATCGTATCCCGGTCGTGGTGCATGTAGGCGATTTAAGGAACCTCGAATTTTAGCAACGCGGCCTGATTTAAAACACGTCCCTCGATGTGATTAACCGCCATCATATAGGAATCCTGCAACTGTTAAGTCCTTTAACTGTGTTTGTTTAGGATATGTCGAACAATTAGTGGTGTTTAAGAATGGGGCTATATTAGGCATAGGCCTCTGGAATACGAGGCGATGATAGCTGGCGGCTGAGACACGTGGGGTTATACATATTTTATAAGCACTGGTTTATTTACACCGCGCTTTCCCCCGTCGCCTACGCTGCTCCATAAAAACCATCCCCAGCACTGGGGGCTCACTTGCGAGTGCGCGCACGCACGCACGCAGTCCAAGGACTCGAGGGTGGGGAGTGTGACTGGGTGAGATGTGCACCACCGCATCCCGGCATCACCACTTCCGTTCGGGGGCCGAGCCAATAAGGAAGAATGCCCAATTTCCGGTTTGTGGAATAAACAGGCGAACGACGTGCGCTTCGTGCCTTTAGCAACTGTTCCGGAAGTGGGATATACTTGAACTGGCTCACGCACACGAACACATCCGCGTGCAGGACGCGGTTTTGCCTTGATTAACACTGGTGCATTATGAACGATCCACAAATTTCGTGTCGTACCGCTACCAGGAATAAGACATGTTATACAGAGCACTAGCCATGTCAAACCTATGCACGAATGTCTTTGTTCTGCCTAGCTGTCGATAGATGTCTTAATAACACTTCGCCTAAAGTGTTTGCTTATTTACCACTAGGACTACATCAAAAGTAATCAAGTCGATTCAAACTGCTCATCGAGGCCAATATTTGAGGTGTGCAATTTGCAATGTCTTTGAACTAACCCACTGCTTTTAGTGGCTATTGCACTCGGTGTTGCTACTTAATTGCTAATGAAGACAAAAACAAAGCGACAACTTTCACTAAAGCTTTAGTGGGGTTACCGAGAAGTGAGAAACTGGAAGACTTTGCTCTCCATGCATGTGCTTCCGGTGAGATGATCAGCAGTCCCCAAAAATACGCTTGCAGGAATCTGTCCGCACTCAAACCGCGAAATCTGAACTTCCGGTTTGTGATGACAAGCGCACCATGCGTGCTCACATAGCCACCCAACGCAGACTGTCCCATTTTCACTCCGGAAGTGGTGTGTGAACGGTTTTTAATATCCACCGGCATAACAGTCCAACAACCCCTCTGCCCATCAAGGAAGTGGTTTGTTAAGGGTTCTGCATTGTCTGCGGATTTCAAAATTCTAAGCTGTGACACTAGACTTGACATACCTTAAAGTTGTTCAATCAAATCAACAGATTGTGATGAATTATCAAACAGCCAAATCTATGCCTACCTGGTATAACTGGAGACCAGGCCGATCTGCGTTGCTGGGACACGACTTCATTTACCTGGTTTGATTTATTCCAATTAAGTGTAGACACAAGCATGTTGCTTGAAAGTGAAAAGTGGTCTGATGAGGTAAGGGTCGAAGTTCTTCTAAGGACACTAATTTAACAGCACTTCAGCATGTTCACTCACACTCCAGCTCAATGAGTTGCAATTCCATCACAGCCTCAGCGGTGGGGAGGGACACGTGTTCCCACAAGTGTGCTCACTTGCACCACCAACTCTAACCCTTGTCGCTATCTCCGTGCATGTGTGTGGGATTACCGTGCCTCCACACTCAGCTTAATGTGAAACATGCTGGTTGGTGGTCCGGTGAATGCACACGTGTACTCAGCTTCGCTCGTCTCTCATCCATCCACGCCCACCACCACCAGCACTACCCACTTGAATGTAGCTTGCTGTGCGCATGTCCCCGTGTCTGGAGAATGCGGATTGAATAAGGGCAGCCTCACCCAACATTGTACTCATTTCACAGGTGATGGTGAGGAGAATTACACCACGCTTTTCTTCATATAGGGTAAAAGTTCCTTTTCATTAATAAAACCTACATTTTTAGTTCGACTCATATGCATCTGATCGCAATCGATAAAGGTCCCAACTGAAATAAATGTGAAGTAGGAATAATAAATGGACCAGAAGCATAGTTTCCCAGCATACACCTGCGGTCTGTGCATGCAGCAGATTTGAATTTATTCTCGGGAAGGGTTTGGACGTGAATATGGGAATTAGCAACTCCAATATTGATATGCGCCTTTGTTTAATACTTAAGTTCATTTTAGAAATTCGCCTGGATAACTGGAGTTCAGTGAATCTTCTCAAAATTCGGACCCCAGAAAATATGCCTTTATTTGTCTTTCAAGGTAATTCTCGGAACCACTACCTCCTCATATCGGCGGATAACCCTCACCTACCGCATCATATTTAGTGTTCTCTTGGGGTACGATGATGAAGGAGCCGGGAGCTCAAACCTTCAGAAATGAACACGCACGGGTCTGAGGGGAGTGATAAGCTAGGGTTGGTGGTCACATTGGTTACACTGATAGGCAGCGACAGCACACTACTAACTGCAGAAAAACAAGTAGATTTTCGAGATACACGGCGTCACTTCCTTCCGCTACACACACGACATCTGAAGAAGTGGCATTTGTTAACCGCGATTCTATTGACTAACTCTAGAATATCAGGGATTACGTCTAAAATTCCGTGTTTTCGAACTCTTCGCGTAGAGGTTATCATGGACTGACAAAATTGCATTGACAACAGTCATAGACCATAATCTGCTTTTGATTGGTGGTTGGTAAAACTGGCGGTGACTTTCTAGACAGGTCAAGTTTCTAAATTACTCAACTTTTTCCGACACGCTGCTGCATCTCTGTAAACGATTGCCAGATTTTCAGGACTTATCATTAATCATTTTGCTTTTCAATCCATAAATGCTGCATTATATCCTAATTCGAAATGCAAGGAAGGTAAAAGGAATAGCACACCAAACTCGGACTTTTAACTACATATCCATGAGAAAAGATATTCCATTAGAGTGAGAATCAATGTGCTTGGCTTAATCTATTTCAAGACTGTCAGTTGACACAATGAGATCACAACCAAGTCATCATTCAAGTGGTCAGCCTTCTACTTCCACTCTAATGGATGCATAAACAAAGAAGTCAGCTCCCACTAGAACCTGTGACACCAAGTTTCTCTAAAACACACAATTGAGAATTGGATACACACATACATACACACGCGCCCATGCTAATTGGTCGGTTGGTATCCGTGCGGTGGGCCAACCAGTAGCAAGTGCACGTGCGCACATGCACAAACCACTACATGAACACGCACACCGCCCTCTTCTAAAAGCGCGTGTGCACCCGGAGAAACGCGAGTGCGCGCGTGCGCACGCATCCGTCCCCCACCCCCGTACCAACACCACATCCTGCGGAGAGCGAGTGAGAGACGGATATACAGAGGGTACGCACGTAGACGCAAACCAGTTACACAGTTACCGACATTCATGTCAGACATAATGCTTGCCGCGGAGTACACCCTGCGCAGGGCGCTGCACGAACATGCGGGCGACCTCGTGGTCACTGGGAGCCCGCACCTCCTTTGTTCCAGCTTGCCCAAGCACTGGCGATCCAACAAGTCCCTCCCGACGCCCTTTCGAGTGGTCAGCCTCGTGCCGGTCCCCGACGGAACCAGAGTGGTGCTTAGTGCGGGCAATGAAGAACGACCATTTGCGGAACTCAAGAACGCCGTCGCCGTGATGCAAAATCAGGAAGCCAGATTCAATGACCTCAGATTTCTTGGACGAAGTGGAAGAGGTGAGTGATGCCCTTGTACATGCTGTCAATGTTGATTTGTATTTGCCGATTTGTATTTATAAGAGGACCACGATTATATCAAAATTTTCACATCTGTAGAGTAAAGGGATTACTTTTTTCGATTTTTTTTGACATGCTAATGAGTACATTGTAATTGTAATTGTTAATAGCACTGTATTAGGATGACACTTCGACTTGAAACAAGATCTTGACAGTGTTTTATTCCTTTTTGGACTGCGAGACAACCATTCAATTGGGAAATGCTGCAATTCAATCCTATATTAGCCTAAAATGCAGGCTGTAAAATGATCGTCGGACTCAGCGGTAAAATTGAATGACACCATTTCGGGAAACTTACTATAATAACTAGCATAGCCAATCACAAGTTCAGCATCAGGTACGTGTGAACAAATTGACTGGAAAACATACACGCAGTTTTACGAGGCATTGGGATTCGCACTTCGTCAAGCTCTCAGCTTTGGTTCGTTTTTTAATTAAGCCATATTGGTATAGAACATATTTTCTAACTGACTGAGCATACAAAGCCAGATGAAGAGGAGAATGAAACCATTATTTAAGGAATCATTTGCTTATTTATCATAATGTCGATATTAAACAAGGGTAGAATTGATACTTCACTAAAGGTTTTAAAGTGGTTTGTATGGTGTCTCTATTGTTGCTAGTCATGTAATGAGCTCAATACTTGAGTAAATACAAGCCGTGGCCCCTGGCAACCACACTCAGACACCGCGGGAGAGGAGATACAATCAGTAATTAGGTCTGCTTTTTGACCCGAAGGGGCACCGGCCCCATTCCTTAGGGTAGGTGGCGCCACCTCCACCACCTTACTTGGCCACCCAAAGTAAATACTACATCCCTGTGTCTGTGTGCACTCACGGCTGATTGGGAAGCCGGTGTCCGGCTTTTGGGTACGTGTACGCACAGTTGACATAAAACTCGACACCACTTTGCGTACTGACAGATACGGCCGAGTAGTGTTCAACTAACGCCTAAGAGGGCGTGATGTTACTCTCAGTTTGGGTAACTTTGAGTCCAGCGGCTGCCACTTTTTTTAGTTTAAGATCTCCTAAATTTTCTTGCATAACACGTTTGAGCATGACAAGGCGACGGTGTGTGAGGAGTTACATCAGTCGTCAATAGCCCTTAGGGAACACGTCGAACTTACGTGGCGACAGTAGTTTATTAGCCGAATGTGAGCAAATCACAACTCCAGTTCATTTCAGTTGTTTGGCTTCGGCTCTCTTACAAATAGGTGTGACCCTTTAAAAAGTTTGTACCAACGTTTTCGCTATTACCCATTGGTTATTTTGAATTGGCGTTTCCGTTAGGTGTCAGTTAAGTTGGTCAAAAAATCTTACTGTGTTGTCGTGTGGATAAAATGTATTTTCAGTAGATATCTAAATTATTAGTTGCAGAAAGGGCATGTGAATCACCACGCAAAAAAAATTAACTGAGTTTTCACACAATTGGCGCGCACCCAAAAACTCTTGACGGGTTCAGCAGGGCGAAATGCCTGGAATGCACATCAACATTAAAGTGAAACGTTGCATTGGGATTGCCCTGGGCAACTTCACATCAATCGATAATTAGAATGGATTGTCGCGTTATTGTGACTGTATTTACAGGAACCTCCTGAACCAAATGCAACGAAATTTTTTTGTGATAAACACTTTCTGTTTAATCATTTTTGCGAGAAAAGTAAATTGAATGAAGTTACTCTCAAGAACACCCATTTATTTTTTTCAAAATTTAGGATGTTTTCTGTCTCTTTTGACTTAATGAATTTAGAAGCAGATTTCCATTCGCAGTTAAATGTCGGCCCAACATAAAACAAGTCGACCAGTCCAAATACCTACTGTTTCAATTGTCAAGTTTGAATAAGACAATATTCCACTTAAACGGCTTTATTGCATAGCACTAAACGAGTCTGTACAGAGACATCGACTTGATGAGCATTCGGTTTAACCTATCTCCTACCTTAGCCAGATTAAGTTGCAGAGCAGGTCATTTACAGTTTATCCAATCGGTTGATTCCCCGGTAGAAAACGTGATATATTTTGAGGCTGGCGGTTTTGGGAGCATGCGCGCCTCGAAGTAGCCAATGGGGTAATGAAGCGCAACTTGCGGTTTGTGGTTTTATGTGCATAGACGCGTATGTGTGGTTGCGGTCAGCGCGCAATTAACTGATTGGCGAGCCTGTTCAGCCAAGAGAACCGCGTACATGCTATCAACAATGCGGGTATTTGTTTACTCTAGATTACTGATTGCTTGAAATCATGGTACATATGCCAAATTTTGGGGACTGGTTTATATTGAGTGGTTGTATAAGCTCTTGCCCGATTTCCACACATGGCAGAAGCGAACACGTTCAACTGTCCTGACGCCTCTTTTATTATTGCGCATTATTAATTGGCAATTATCCATGTGCGTCGTCAATTAGCAACACTTAGAACAAACGTTCACCTATATTCATTTACC